GACGCCCCCCCCCCCCCCAACCCCCCCCTCAAAACGGATGCGTGCTGAGGGTGCTGGGTCCTCGGGGCTGGGTGTGGAGGGTGGGCAAGCTCTTCCTGCCCACTCTTTGCCTTTCCACACCCTTCCCAAATACCAGGAAAGGGCCCTTGAAGGTTTCACACCCCCCCCCTCACACACACACACCCCTTGGGTGTGCAAACAGAGCACAAGTGGCCCCTTGGCAGCTCTGGGGGGGGGGCCCAACCCCTCCTCCAGGGACTCCTATAAATCCCACCCCGAGCTCTGGGTGGCAAAGGGACGGGAGCAGCACCCAGGGGGAGATGGAGGACAGTTCCAAGGAGGCTCTGATGGAGGAGGCACCCCCGGTAAGGAGCACCCACCACCCAGCCCAGGGACCTGGGGCTGAGGGACATCCTCGCTGGTCCCAGCAGCTCAGGGTTGGTTTCCCCCCCCCCCCCCTGGTGCCCACAGAGCTACACGGCCTCCCCACACCTGCCCTGCATCCCCCACCAGCTCAAGTCCCTCCTGGTGGCAGTGGTGACAGTGGTCACCTTGCTGGTGGTCATCGTCACCTTCCTCCTCCTGGGGCTGCACATCACCGAGACACACGCCGAGACGGTGAGGGGGAGAAGGCACAGGGATGGGTTTTGACCCCCCCAAGGAAGCTCCCTCATCCCTCCCTCTCACCTGGCAGGTCTTGAGAATGACCATCCAGGGCCTGGGGGGTGAGGGGACCCCCCAGCACCTCTCCATGAGCAAGAGGGAAAGGGTGGGGACGTTCGCGGCGCGGGACGGGCTCAACGCCTCGGCCACCGTGGTGTATGACTACAGCAAGGTGGGTGTCCCCTGGGATATTGGGGGGGTGTGACAGCATTGGGGGACAGGCCTGGGCTGAGCCAGGTCTGTCTGCACCCAGCTGCTGGTCAGCTACAGGTCCTGGAGTCACCCTGCCTGCTACATCACCCGGGTGGACAAGGACAACATCCCGGGGTTGGACGTTGTCACCCAAAGCTTCCAGCGTCGGCAGGTGGGTGTTGAGAGCATCCCCAGGGGGAAAAGGTGGGGTGGTGGCAAGTGTCTGTGGGAAGGGAGGCTACCAGTGGCCGAGGCTGGTAGCCCACCCCCTTGTGTCTCCTTGCAGGCTGAGATGAAGGAGGCTGGGGAGAAGGTGGTGGCCCTGGCTGACCGTTCCATCCTGGGCACCAGTGTCAACATCCTCTGCAGCTCTGTCCCCGTCTACTGGGTGTAGCAGCTCCCGTGGGGACGACGAGATGGGATCCAACCACCCCACTTTGCCTCCTGGATGGGATACCTGGGGGTCTCTGCTCCTCTCTGTCCCTGTCCCGTGCATGTCCCACCCCACCCCTGGGGTCACCTGCAATAAACACTTGGGATTTGCTTTGGGATTGACTCTCCTGTCTGCCAAGCCCAGGCTGTGCCCCCACCTCCCAGGGTTGTTCTCCTCCTCCCCACGCTGGCCAGACTCCCACCCCACTCCCCAGGGAGAGGGATGATCCTTGGATGTCTCCCCATGGGGCCATCCCGGGGGTCCCTGTGCTCAGTCCAGCCCTGGGAGAGGGAACTCTGGGGAGGGGGGGCTCAGTTTCCTGCCCCCTCCCAGGGCAGTGTCACCCTGTTAGGATCCGTGCCCTGCTCCATGGCCTGTGCCCTGCCCTGGGTGGGGGGGACAGACACCATGGAGGGGGCAGCTGCTGCACCTCCAGCACCCACTGAACCTCAGCATCCCCAGCCAGCTCACCCCTCTGGGAAATGTCCCCATCCCTGTCCCCTCCTCTTGGAAGTGGGGACAGAGGGATCGTGCCAAGTCCCTGCTGAGCACCAAGGGCTGGGCTGAGCCTTCCCAGACACCACGATCTGCTGGTTCCAGTTCCCCTCCATCCCCCATTCCCCCCCTCTCCAGCAGCTCCAGCTCCTCCAGCCCAAAGCAGCTGGGAGGACCCTCGGGGGGCACCTCCTCTGCACTGGGGAATGTGGGATCAGGGGGGTGGGGAGGGAGAAAGGAGACCCCCCCAGGAGGACACTGGCCAGGAGCTCTCAGCAGGCTTCAACTCGGGGTTGTCCCCATAGCCAGGGGCAGCAAGTGGGGGTCACAGCCCCCCCCAGGGGGCTTTGCAGGGAACAGGAGGGAAACTGCACATCACCCAGTGCCAAGGCTGGGCCAGCAGCAGCTCTGCCCCCCCAAAACCCCCTGCTCTGACCCAGGATTTGTGGGGTCCTGGCAAGGAGCTGGGGCCAGAAGGGTGCAGGGAGCTGAAGGAAGGTGAGCAAGGTTCCCATGGCCCCTCCTGAACTGGGATCAAACAGCCCAGGGCCACTCCAGGGTCTCCCTGCTCTGGGACAGGAGGCAGCTGCAACATGGGGTGCACCCCAAACACCCAAGAGTTTGGGGTCCCAAGGAGGGGGCTCAGAGGGTGGCTGGAGAGGTCCTGGATGGAGCCTGATGCTGGTGACCAAACAGTGTCACCCCGTCCTGCTGATTGCACCCCCCGGGGGGGAGTGACCACACCAGAGCTGGGACCCCTCCTCACCCCTGAGCTAAACCCACCCCCCTTCCAGCCCCCCCAAAGCCCCAGCAGTGCCAAGAAGAGCCCCAAGCACCCTGAGGACCAAGGCTGCAGAGGCCACCCAGCCCTGTCACGATGCCAGGAGGTGTGTGTGTGTGTGTGTCCCCCCCGGGGTGACCCTTCCCCTGCCCCCTCCTTGCAGTTTCTGGGAAAGCTTTGATGTCCCACTTCTTGCAGCTCCAGGTGCCCCAGCTGGCCAAGGGACGAGGCCACACAGAGCCAGGTCTCGCCTTGCCCAGGGCCAAAGCAGGATGCTCCAACCTGGAGAGAGCAGCTGGGAGCCCCGTGGAGGGTTGATTTTGGCTCCCACCCCTCGCTCTGGTGCAGCAGAGAGACCCTCGTGCTCGGGGACAAGTGTCCCCAAGAGCCTCTCGAGCTGCAGGTTCCCAGAGGGATCCAGGTGCTGAGCAAACAGAAGTGAAGTGGATTGCACAGCCCAGCCCCACTGCCACCCCAGAGCACCAAACCCTTCACGGGGACCTCCCAGTTCCCCACCCCGTTGCAATCCCAGTATAAAACCCTCTGGCTCTGCTGCTGCAGGGGCTGCCCAGGCAGGAGGAGGAGGAGGAGGAGGAGGCAGCCATGGAGAGCAGCATGAAGCAGGTGGTGGTTGAAGAGCCTCTGGTGAGTCCCTGTGCCCCGCAGGGAGGTGACATGGGGGTCACTGTGCCCTGCAGGGAGGTGACAATGGGGGTCCCTGTGCCCCGCAGGGAGGTGACATGGGGGTCATGGGGGTCCACCAGGAGGTGACAATGGGGGTCCCTGTGCCCAGCAGGGAGGTGACATGGGGGTCCCTGTGCCCAGCAGGGAGGTGACAATGGGGGCCCCTGTGCCCAGCAGGGCGGGGA